ATATCTATCGTATAAAAAACCTTGTTTGTATATACCTTGCTTCGTTCGCAACTCTTACTCATCCAATGCTAGCAGGAGAGGTACGTAGGATACTACCTAATTGGATGCACCTTATGATGTGTGCAGTCGGTGTTGTTGCTTTTGTCGATTTAATTATCTTTGTATTTCCATCCTTATCTAACCTACTTCATCTAGTTAAGTAGTAAGCTACTAGGTAATCACTAATCCCGGCCGTGTTAGTTCGCCTTCTCCGTGATTGGTCTCTGTTTCACTGAATATCGAGTGTTTTGTGTGTGTGTGCTCGCGCAGCTTGCACTGTGATGCGTCTGGATGGCCAGGCACGGCGTAGCGATTCTCTCCTCTATCTCTCTCCCTCGTTCCTCGCTCTCTCTCGTCTATCTCTTTCCATCTCGTCTTCCTCTGCTCTCTTTCTCTCTCGCTCTCTCTCTCTCTGCTGCTCTCTCTGCCTCTCTCTCTCTGCTCTGCTCGTCTCTCTCTTGCTTGGCTGCTCTCTCTCTGCTCTCTCTTTCCTCTTGTCGGCTACTCTCCTGGCTCGTTTCGTCCTCTCGCTCTCTGCGCTCCGTTCTCTCTCTCCCTTCCTCCATCTCCTCTGTCCTCTCTCTCTCTCTCTCTCCTCTGCTCTCTCTTTCTTCTCTCTCTCTCTCTCTCTCTCGCCTCTCCAGAGTATGTATATCGTAGGCTATACTGATATTTGCACCTATAAAGTCCCTCTCTCTCTTTCTCTCCTCTCCAGTAATAACATACTAGTATAGTATGTCATTTAGGTATAATGTATTATCCCTCTTCTCTCGTCTCTCTCTCTCTCTCTCCTCTTCTCTCTCTCTCTCTCTCTCCGTCTCTCCTCTCTCTCTCTCTCTCTCTTTCGTCATCTCTCTGCTCTCTCTCGCGTCATCTCTCTTGCTCGTCTCTCTCTCTATCGTCTTCTCGTCTCTTCTCGTCGTCTCTCTCCTCCTCTCGCTAGCTCTCTTTCTCGCCGGTCTCTCTCTCTCTCTCTTTCCGTCTCTCTCTCACGTCCTGCTTCTCTCTCTCGTCTCTCTACGGTTCGTTCCGTCGTCTCGCAATTGAAACTCTCGCTTGTGAACGGAGGGCCAAGTGGCGTGCCCGGAGCAGCGCCGCCCAGCCGACCGCGGGCGACGGAGCCGAGTGTTCAGTACACGTCCTGCCACCCCGCGTTTTGTCTGTCCTGTGGGTGGTGGTTCGTGTGCCTCTGGTTCCCCTTGGGGTTCGAGGACGCAGTTGTCGTAAGTGTGCGCCGTTATGCACTGGCAGAAAGTCTCTTACAATCAGGTTCGGGTGGAGTACGGGACGCCGTACTCCACCACATGCTCGATCGGTCTGGTGCTTGACATTCGGGTTGCTCGCCGGCGTACGGGCGGCGTATAGGGTGGCGCTGGTTGCCTTGTGGTGGCCGGCGGTGGCGCTCGCGCGGCGTCGGCCGCACTTGGGTGATCCTTCTGGCCGGGACTATGTGGGGGGGAGTGTGGTGTGGGGGTGTGGTGGTAGATGGGGGTGTTTTACCGATGGATGCTCTCTCGGGAGTCTTGAAAGGCACTACGATGAGAAGGGTGCCTACGTTGGCTGGATAAGTCGCTATATTTTTAATATATAGGCACTTGCAGTTGAAAAGTCTTGGAAAACGGGCTACGGCCTGGACACTACTGGAAATTTTCAGTCGGGTTTTGCCGGTTGACATTTCTCGCGTCACTTATGTTGACTGTGCTGTTATATGTGATTACCTCGTGCTCACCTGTGAAATCTGCTGGTCACCCGATGGGGTGTCACCTTGTTACGCTGTATTAGCCTTGGTGTCACCCATGATTACCGTCATGTCACATATGTTACCTGTATTACCTGTGTTCACCCGTGCTTACCTCTGTCACAGTATTGGTTACCTGTATTACCGTGTGTTACCTCCGTTTTTACCATCTGTCACATGTGTTACCTGTATTACCTCAATGTTACCCGTCTGTTACCTCTGTCCACATATGGTTACCTGCTATTACCTGTGTGCAACCCGTGATTACCTCTGTCACATATGTTACATTGTGGGATATTACCTATGTTACCTGTGAGTAGCGTGTGCGAGCGCCGTGTTACCTACTGTACACATATTGTTACCTGTATTACCTGTGCAGTCACCGTCGTTTACCTCTGATCACATATGTTACCCTGTATTACCTGTGTCACCCGTGTTACCGTTCTGTCACACTATAGTTACCGTGTATTACTATCGTTCACCTGTATTACCGGCGGGTGTCGGATGTGTCACCCTGGTTACCTCTGTCACATTATGTTACCTGATATTACTGTGTCACCACGTGGTTACCTCCTGCTCACTACTGTTACCTGTAATTTACCGTATGTTACCGTGACTTACCGTCGTGTCACCCTGTGGTTACCTCTGTCACAGTATCGCTCTACCTTGTATTATCCGTGTCACCCCGTGCGTTTACCCGTCTGTCACATATGTTATCTGTATTACTCGTGTCACCTGTGATATCTGTGTCACCTTGTTACCTGTATTACCTGTGTCACCCGTGTTACCTCTGTCACATATGTTACCTGTATTACCTATGTTACCTGTGTTTCCTCGCCCTGTCACCAGGTACATCGAGTCGCTGCAGACGGAGAAGACGCAGGTGAGTAACTGGCGGGAGCAGATGCGCGCGACGCCGGACAACACCGCCCTCAACAACGCCGGCAAGCTGCCCGTACACTGGCTCAGCAACGGAGCCGGTAACCACGGCAACGTCGTCAACGCGCTCTGGGCGCTGCGCGACGTCCTGCACCACGACACGCTCAACATGACGCACCTGCTGTGAGAGGCGGCATCTGTCACCGTGGCAACGTCGTCCCCGGATTTCATCGCCGTAGCAACGTCGTCCTTGGATTTCGTCGCCGTGGCAACTTCGTTCCAAGATTTCATCGTCGTAGCAACGTCGTCCCCGGATTCGTCGCTGGGGATGCCTATGTCATGTTATGGCAGGTGATGAGGGTGTGATTTCACTTGCAGGACGCGTCTAGGCCTTGTACAAAATATTTCTCAATTCGTGTGCCGAGTTTCTCGTCAGAGTCAGAACAGCAGCATTCGACATTTGCTGTTTGCGTGGATTTACAGTATTGTGTTGCTCGCCTCATTGCGTGTACTCGTTTTGTTTTTCCCCCTGTCATTTTAATTAGTTTTGTGTAAGAAGTTTATAGTCATCTTTTTTAAGAGTATTTATCGAGCATTTTGCACATCGGATTGTAGCTGAATTTCCAGCAGCAGCCCTTGTAAAGTGAGGGCTGTCAGATCGGGTTCAGTGCATACTCATCAGCTATGTCATTACAGAAAAGTTGGCCTTTCTATTTTTACCAAACGCTACGTCACCTGTATAAAACTGAAAATTCCCTGAAGTTTCTATCATCGTATATATACATGTATATACATTTGTATATGTATTCTGCTCTGGGTGCTATATCACTTTGTGAATTTCAAACGACAGTTCGATCCTGGCTGTGTCTGTAAACGGCAGTTATCATGCTTGTTTTTCCCCAAGGTGGAACGTGTTGCTATTTATTGTGTTGGAAGGCATGACAGTGTTAGTTTTTAGTATAAATACATATTCTTGTGGATCGTCTTGTATACAGTGTTGTTGACAGTGCGTTTCGTGTCATTTTTTCTGTCACGTAATAAAGTGAAGCTGTGTCAAATATGTATACAGAATTCGCGTTGTGACGTATTTGTAGCGTTATTGATCACCATTCGAATCTCGCCATCATTGATTTCTGGTTGGTTACATGACTGTCTGTCTAGGGAATTGAGCGCCGCCGTAGAAGTGGAAAAACACTGTGATTGATTGCTGACTAAATACGCGTACGCAGTGTTAACTCAATATGTGCTCACGGTCAGATGGCGTTTTATTGTATAAACAAATGCAAAATTAATTGCCTGGCGTCAGTCACTAATGCATGGTTAGCTGCATTCTGCAGCTGAAAATAAATTAAAACGTTTAGCACGCGTCGTTCGTCGCCCACGCATGCTTGCATCGGCCCTGACCGCATACAACCTTGAGACTACGCCAATGTCATGTCACGTCACGCCAAGGTCAATCTGAACCTTATATATAATACGATTACGTATTACATACATCAAAATAACGAGCATAAAAAATAGCAGGAGTAAACTTCGCTCTGCTGGTAATAACCTATATATATATATATATCAAGGGTACATAATAGTATGTACTCTATAGTAGAGTACATAACAATATAATCTCTTATTATGTACTATTGATATATATATATAACAATAAAAGAAGCTCATCACGATGTATGATCGCGTACGATGGTGGAGTGATGCTTACACTCCCAATTAATGGAACCTGAGTGATATCAGGAGTGGATAAAACCCCACACTCCTGGTGATAGAGTTGACGTTGGCTTCAACTCTCTACTCACGAATACTACGGCCGTGCCAAAATATCAATCGCGAAGGAAACGTTTATAAATATAACATCGTACAAAACATATATATACCCCGCTGCTAAATATCTGACCTGCAGCTGTTAACGTCTTCCAGCGATTCTTTCGTTTGTAAGTCGTTCATTCATGGGTAAATTAAATCATTCCTTCCTTGTTAGTAACTGCACTAAAGGCCCACCACGTGTGTGTATAAATAAACAGACAGAGAGCTATAGGCTAGTATTGGCACGGGGTGGTACTTCTTGCAACGTATTTATCGCTGGCATTAACATAAATCTCTCACCATCTCACTAGTATTAGCGTACACCTCTCGCTAATATTAACATAGACCTCCCTTCACTAATATTAGCGAACATTTCTCACTAATATAAAAATATACCTTCTCTCACGAATATTAACTTATACATTTCGTTCATATGGGCGTATAGCTTCTAACGCTGATGTTACCATATACTTTCGACACGCGTATTCTTTGTTCCCGTTTGCGGGTCTCTGTTATTATGTATGTAGAACGCTCAAGAGCACACTAAGAGCAGATAATAGAGATACTCCGAGTCTCTATTATCTACTCTTGATACACACATATACATGTATATGTAATATGTATATATATATATATATATATATATATATTCTTTGTTGACGTTTCTGGGTCTCTGTTATGTATTCAAAACGGATGGCCATATCGGTGTATATACATACACAGACATATATATATAATGTATATACATGATATATAGGCCCTACATGATACATACATATACATGATTCGCTACGTGCTGCGCTCGGCCTATAACCCCCGTCTTCATCCCTTCCCTAGTCTCTCCGCGTAAAAGATGCTGCCGCTCACCTGCTCCTCCGTCACCACGCGCACCCTCTCTTCTCGTCGCTGCGGGGCTGGCGCCACCTGGCGGAACAGCGTGGCGGGCACGAAGGAGGAGGACGAGGAGGGGTAGGAGGTGGAGGAGGATGAGCAGGGGTAGGAGGAGGAAGATGAAGACGAGGAGGCGGGATAGAGCAGATCATAGACGGCGTGCGAGTCGCGCGCCCGCCGCGTCATCTCGTGCGTGCGGCTGTGGCGGATCATGTTGCCGGACTGCGTGAAGCCGCGGCCGCACTTCCAGCAGACGTACGGCTTCTCGCCCGTGTGCACGCGCACGTGCTTCTTCAGCGTCGACACGTCCGTGAAGCGGCGCGCGCAGTGCGTGCACGTGTACGGCCGCTCGCCGGAGTGGACGCGCGAGTGCGTGACGAGCGTCGATCGCTGCGAGAAGCGCTTCGGGCACGCCGAGCACTGAAACTGCCGCTCCTTCGGTTTGTTGACGTCAGCAGTAGCGGAGCGGTGGAGGGTGTACGGCGCGAGCGTGTAGAGCGACGCGTCCGTCGATGAAGCCGGCTGCAGGATGCGGACGCTGTTGCTAGGGGCGTGGTCGTTGCTAGGCGCCTGCTGCAGGATGCAGACGGCGTTGCTAGGAACCTGCTGCAGGAAGCGGACGCTGTTGCTAAGCGGCGGTTCGGCGGTGAGCAGACGACGCAGGGTGGGATTGTCATTTTCCGTCGACTGTGTCATCGGTGTCATCGGCTGATTCGCTAGCAGCAGCGCGTTTGTCGGACAGCCGACCGACGGTGGCGCACCCGCAGCTTGGCTGAGCGACAGAGGCGTCTGCTGGGCGGGATGCAGCGCGGACGTGACGTCATGTGAGATCGAGGCTGTGTGTGGCGGGATGGGGGGCGGCTCAGTGAGCGTGGTAGGCTGGTCGTGGTGTTGGTGTTGGTACACGCCAGCAAATGAGTACTGGTGAAACTGCTGCTGCTGCTTCTGCTGCTGCTGCTGTTGTTGTTGCTGCTGTTGCTGGGGCTGCTGCTGTTGCTGCTGTTGCTGCTGCTGGTGGTGCTGGTGGTGCTGCTGCTGGTGGTGCTGCTGCTGCTGCTGCTGCTGCTGTTGCTGGTGTTGCTGTTGCTGCTGCTGGTGGTGCTGCTGCTGTTGTTGCTGGTGCTGTAGATGACACGCTGTGTTATCTAGTTGAGTGTACGGCGGCTGTAACTCTGCGACAACCCCTGCCGCTGCCACGTCACCGCCTACCCTGACTCTCGCGCCCCCTGACGACGTGGATGCCGCGGTCGCGCAGACCTCAGTAGCGTTCATCGCAACTACCGGCGGAAGAACGTGTCTCCCCGCAGTGCCGCCAGGTGTCTCCACCGACGACAGCTCCCTGTCTCCTGCGATTGGCTTCCACTGTAACTCGCACGTTGGCGGTTGCATGAGACCGTCTAAGAGCGAGATCAGCGGCTTGCTGTTTACGGCAGCGCCACCTAGCGTGCGCGATGACGTCGGAGCGATCATGTGAGTGCTCGTGCGTCTGTTGATCATCAGGATGCGCGATCTGTCGCTCTGGATGGACAGAACGCCGGAGCTTGTTCTGGCGAAGGTTGCCTGCAATATGTTGTTCAGGTGAAGAAATTATATGACAACGCGCAGCCTTGTGTAAATGAAAGATTATTTTATTTTTTATTGTGCGAATATAATAACGTTAGCTATTAATTATGTTAATTAATTCATTAATTAGTTATTATTATTATGTTTATTATCATTATCATCATCATTATTATTACTTAGTAGGTGCACAGTGAGAAATCTCTGAATACATATCTCTACCGGCGTCTCCGTGCCTCGGTACTCGGCAGAGGGCGCGCGTGAATGAGATCTTTATATATATTTATATATTTATATCTTTATAGTCAATCTAGCACATCCTGCCAGTGTGTGTATGATTTATTGGGCCTGTGGTGTTGAATAAGACGCTGACATATGCAAATCGAAAAAATAGGCCGAACGAATGGAAAGGGTACGACATATATATATATATATA